ACGGCAGATGGTGATGGTTATGACGATGACGATGGTGATGGTGATGGTGATGGTGCTCGTGCTGGTGCTGGTGCTGGTGCTGGTGCTGGTGCCGGTGCTGGTGCTGGTGCTGGTGCTGGTGATGGTGATGGTGATGGTGATGGTGATGGTGATGGTGATGGTGATGGTGATGGTGATGGTTGCGGCGGTGGCGGCGGCGTTGGTGTTGGTGTTGGGGCTGGGGCTTGTGTTGGTGTTGTTGTATGATTGAAGGGCGCGCCCTTCTCGTTATTTCAGACCCTGGTTTTTCGTGATTTTGGCTTGGATTTTGGACTGTTCACGGTGCTGATACGCTCCGAGCCCCTTCCCGGATTTGAGGGAAATTTTGGGGTGGGATTTTGGATCGTTCGGCATGCATGGCATGTTGACGCATTGCAGAGGCATTTTAAAAGTTTAGTCGTGTTCTTTTTGAGGGTTTTATGGTATTTGACAAAAGCAGGAGCCCCGTCATGTTGTTGTCTAGCACAGCCAGTACGGCTTGCAGGCTTGAGCGATACTTTGAACCGTTTTACAGCCAGCCGAGGCGGGGTCGCGTAGCCTTTAAATTGTTTGTTGATCCTGATCAAACTTTGTTTTGACCTGCATTCCGGTTTGCGAAGGACACTCTGAGGCACAGACCCATCTCCAAGAGAGCCTCGACCTTGTCAAACTTCATATTCATGGTGCTGTTCAAAGGGGGAAAGAAGTCTGTCAGGGCCTCCTGAACGCTGGCCTTTCGAGCCGCCTCGAGCAGCCGCCTCTGGAGATGAGAGACGAGATCACAGGGAGCTTTCGACGTGCAGGTCTATGCATGCGACACGCCGGCACCGCACCTCTTGTGGACTTCGTGCAAGTCTCCCAATTCATCTCAGCACGACACAGGAAGTCTGAGAAAGCTTTTTACTGCCAAGGGTTAGGTTTGAGCATGACAGTCTCCGCAGAATGGGAGCAGAAGGATCTGGACGTTAGTGTGCTCTGTGAGTGCGCACGGGTCATGCATAACAAGCTTAGCTTCATGTCGCGACACTCATCGGCACCACTTGCTGGGAGCCTGACACACTTTGATATCGGTGGTCATTGCCTTTAGGCAGCTGCCCACCGAAATCTGCTAGGCGAACAACGCCACTCTGAAGCGCCGTAACTGGCCGAGCGCGCCCATGGCAGCCACGACAACGAGGAAAAGCTGCCTTCAATGTCTCCTACATTCTACATCATCTTCATGCAACGGTGAAACCAGATCCTTGTAATCTGGCAAGTCGAGTCTTAGTCGTAGTCTTGGCACTGCAGCTGTTGTTTGGGAATGTCTGATGGCCGGGCTTGCCAGGCACTTAAGCTTGAGCGGCGCTGCAACAACTCAGACTTCATTGAATATCTTGCAGGTCCGAGACCACAAGCTTCAGAAGTGTGGTCGGTGGCCTCAACCGACCCTGTTGGAGGACTTCTATCGCTGCCTTGCTCACACGGATTCGCATGTCCGCACTCAGAGCCACGAGTGACATCCAACTTTCACTCAGCACGAGGCAGTCTTCTCGGGATCTGGAGGCAAGTCACCAGTCTTCTCCAGATCCTGGCACGAGACGTGCCAGGGGTGCTACCGAACCTGTGCGACTTGCGCGCCTTCCACTCCTGAGCCTCCAACAGCTCCTGCAATGCTGAAGCTTGGTAAACTGGGAAGGATCATGCACCATTGTGCCTGTAGCACCGCCTCGGAAGGAGCTCGCTCCAAACAGTATGGACTACGAGATATTACGAGTACAAGAGATAACGATCCTCACCAAGCTCGCAGGTAATGCTCTGATAGGCGTGTATTCTGCTCGGTCATGCTGGCTGAAGCATCCTCCATCTTTCCGCCGAGCACTTCCTCGTCTTGTGCATCACACACCAACAAAGCACGACCTGAGCGAATCCACAAGAGCAACCGTGAGGGCTTCATGATATAACGGCTAAGCAGTCATTGCCATCAGGAGAAAACTTCAAGAGAAAACTTGAAGCTGAGTGCAAAGCCCTCAGCAGTAAGGGCCTCAGAGACATCGGATTCCGGGCCAGACCGGCACTCGACATGAAGTCTTCAGCACCATGGCCTTTAAAACAGGCTGAGCCGAGAACGGCAGATACCTGCGCGAGGCCCTGGATCAGGATCTTCTTCCCGAGGCGCTTCTTGGAGCAAGTTGCGGTGCAAAAAAAGGAAATTGACAGTGAAGGATCTTCATCGTCATCAAGCCAAGCTGCAACGCTTTGACTAACATTGCTCTGCGGATGAAGCTTGGGCTTCGCATCCCATGTTTCGTGTCTCCGCGCACTACTTGCATCTACTTGCGCCAACCGCAATTCCTTGAACGCTTATGGGCTCAGCTTCTCGGGAATGGCTTTCGGGGGCTTCAGCCCCAAGCATCCCTTCCCAGCATGCGAGAGGGACAGACCAAGGGAAGGCAGGACGGCTACAGTGCCACTAAGTGCCACTGAGCAACAGCAGTGCCAGCTGCGACGACGGCTATGTGCACGTCCTCAAAGAAGCAGCGAGGACCGTGTGCCTCTGCTCTTCTGCAGGCCAGTGCAGAAGCCTTGCGAGGGATCACTTTGTCGACGTCCTTCTGCCACTGCCTCTGAACGACATGAGCCAGAGTTGCCATGGCAACTTCCGAGAGCATTGCTTTGGCGAGGGCCTACTACCAGGAAGCGGCAGCCCAGGGATGACAGCTGCTCGAATCTAGCTGTGATGACAGTTGAGGTAGCCGCTACCGCCTGCCTGAAAGACGGATTCACAGCATACACCTGTTACGCGCAAGTCACACCCCGTGTGCTGCCGGAAATGATGTTTTCCTTGTGCCAAACGATGGGGCCTCGCATTGATTCTTGAACTCGTACTTCAGTACGTCACTGACCTTGGGTCCAGTCATGCAGACGTTAGCTGCTCGCCATGTCCACAGCTCCAAATTTTTAGAAGCTGCTGGACCCAGGATGACGTACTCCGTCAGCTTGTTGGGACTCTTCTCCTACAGCCATGACTGCATTCTGCTTGAGGCCGCCGAGTGTTGCTCGCATCCGATGGCGCCTTGTCTGGAGCCAAGTAGCCGACGTACTTAATGTCTTCTGGTGCCTCAAGCAAGCCCGCTCGCGCGGCGGTACCAGAACCCATCGCGAGTACACCCCGAATGAAAGCGGATGCTTATACACTCCCCCACGAATGAAAGCCAGGGACCAGCTGCATCGCTGTGATGGTCTTGCGGTTCGGCGGCAGAAACTGCCAGCAGACGAGGCCACGCTTGAAAAATGCATCGAATCAAGCAGAGTTTTGGCTTCATCAGAACTAGCACATAGATTGACCGCGGTACCAAGGCATGCGCATCAAAGCAAGCAAACCGCAAGCCTGCTTCAACTCAGATGCCAGATAGTACTGCCTGGCCATCTGTTGTCACAGAGTTGACCCTACCTTTCTGTTTCGTGCGGTGCTACGACAGACTCTCTGATTTGGCACCGTGAGTCACGAAATCAGGACATGCAGGGACGTCAGACTGACACAGATTCGTCTGTAGCTTTCGAAATACTTGCATCGACTCGCATCGACCTCAATGGTGGAAGGAACTGGTACACAGGGCCTTCCCGTGATTTCCCGTGGCTTGAGGTTCGCAAATTCGTCTGGACATGAAGCACCACCTACTCTTGTGCATGAAAAACAGGTGAGCTGGATGTGCGTGTATGTATATATATATATATATGTATATATATATATATATATATATATTGGTTGTTGACTGCAAAGCCACGGCAAGTTTGAATGCAAAAGCACAGGCTCACGCCACTACTTTTTCATCCTGGCAGCATTGGCTCGTCAAGGAGCTGTGAAGGAGCCGCCTCGAATTTCATGTTGAAGTTAAGCGATGTCATCAAAGGCACATGGCGGAGTCATGGTTTCAGGGACAAGACAAAGGCAAGACTCATGCCGAAGTGGCCTCTCGCTGAAACTGGGTACTCACCGGAAGACTCCATCTGGAGACCAAGGCACTCGCAGCGCCGCGGGCCGTCGAAGCAAGCAGTAGCACAGCGCAAACCTAAAAGCGCAGCTTCAACTGCGCAGCTCTGTGAAGTTCCACAGCCTTTAGTCGGCCTTTGAGGCGACGACGAGACGACAAAGATCATGAGGCCGGCCTCGGGCACCTTTTGTGCCCAGCTGGCCCACGGCTGCACCTGCAGAAAAGAGAAATGCTGGGTACACATACACCTTCACAGACATATGATCTATAGCATAAAACGAAATACATAACGTGTAAAACATACGGTGACGTACATCAAACAACATACAGCATTGAATACATGGCACTGAACCAAAAACATATAGCATACAACGGTCTAACACGCAACATATATTATATAGACATCAAATATGCGTATGTGACGAAGTAGGGCTAATGAATACCGCTCTTTTTCCGAGTTTCCGATGCGGGCGTTTCCGATCTGTCCAACCCTTCGGGTCTGGATCGGTTGCAAAGCCTGCGTTCGAGATTTTTCCAGATTTTTTCTTGCCACCATCACATGACCTCGCGAGGTTTGGGTGGATTGTACCAAGGTTAGCCCATGGATGATTTGGGGAACGGACGCGGTTTGGGTGGACGTTATGATGGTTAGCGCGTGGATGCTCTCGGGAATGGATGAAGTGTATACATATGTATATGTATATGAATATGTGTCTGTACATGTATAATGTGTCATGTAAAATGTACGCAAATGTAGATGTACATGTATATGCGTGCATCCTTCCATGTAAACTTATGTGTATAGGCAAATGTAAATGTACAAGTGCATGTAGATGTACATGTGTATGTGAATGTAAATGTATACGTACATTGTGTACATGTACATGTATATGATTGTTTTTGTATATGTACATAGGAGCCTCTGTTATTCGCATGTGTATGTCCATGTGCATTCCCATGGTCTTGGCGACGTCCGAGTGTATGTTTACGCATGTGTATCCGATATGTTTATGTTTGTGTTTTTGGGTAAGATTATGTATATTGTGCAGGTCTTGTTGCATGTTGGGTGTTGTATGATGTACGTGATGTGTTTTGTGCAACTTATATACGCTGTAATTACGTCGTGCGTTGTAAGTTGTATGTTGTGTGTTGTATGTTTGCCTTACACCATAACACGATAAAACAGATAGAGCACGAAACACTTCGTGTGATCCCGTCATGTCCACGGAACACCATTGAGTGGCCCGCGCACTAACTTTGACACTTTTGCAATGACAGCAGTGCTTGAGGCAACCGAGCGGGAGTAAGGGCCTCCTGGCCCTTAATCCTCATGAGGTCCTCCACGGTCCATGTCGAGACGCGTGAAGTCCAGGTGCATCAACTGATCCGCCCAGGTGTTGGGGTATCTCTTGACATGGTTGAGGATGAGGAAATTCCCCCACCACGATCTACTGAGTTACCAGTTGCATGAGAACGCGGAGTACGGCCAATCTTCGCCGCCTTTTCCGCGGCTGAGTAGGCATGACTTTCGTTGTCCGTCCGCAAAGAGATCCCGATATCCGAGGTGTAGCGCGGCGATTGTTTTGCCGCCGAGATGGAAAAAGACCAGAATTCCCGCAAGCTCCAAAAACTCGTACGGCCGAGAACCGGTTCTAACCAGATGTTCCTCGCATCCAAGGCACACGAGGAGGATACTGTGCGCGAAAGCTGGCCAACACGGAGGCGTAGGCTGAGATAGCAGAATGCGGAAACCAAGCTCGCCAAGAATCGTACCAGAGCCTCTGGGCAAGATTTTGTCTTGGCGTGGTTCGCGACGCGGGGATAGCTCGGAAAAGCCTGGGCCATCCATTGGGATTGTCCAAGCAGTACCGTGCGTGTTGGTGTTGCTGCGGCGTAGCCTTGCTCTTGGTTTTTGAGGTGGCTGCCAGAGGCATGTAACCAATCTGCATTGCGCAGGAGCGGAAGGATCAACGGAACTCGTCTCGAGCAAGTCTCGGAAGCAAAGCTTGGGATGATGGGCTTAGCCTTGACCAAGCAAGTTCACGAAAAAGTCAATTCAACTTGGAAGCCGCGTTTGACTTTTGTTCATTTATGTTCATTTGCAGGTTTTGCATAATATCTTCCCGAACCTCCTGGAAAAGGCTGAAGCACCCTGTTCAGGAGGGTTCCTCATCGAGGTTGGGTGTGTTTCAAGGCCTTCGGTTGCTGTGGTGGGTGATGGCTGCGGCTGTGGCTGGTAGGTGCGGGGGGGGAGGGTGGTATTGTCTTACAACCACGCAGCAGGCACACGTGGAAAGCACTGCGCACTTGCTCTGGAGCATAAGAATCTTCATCCCTTTCCAAGCCCACGGAAAAATTTAAGCCGCAGCAGTCCTGGCCCGGCTGCACGGGTTCACGTTTTCGGTTCTGTCCGCTTCGGGTTTCTTCGACTTCCGGTTTTCTGGTCTGTTCAGTTGTGTTTTCCTTTCGGACCGCCCGCCCTTTCCGGGTTGTTGGTGCATCATGTTCCAGATGGCTCGTCCCCTGGCACTGGAGAAGGCCATTGAGTCTTTCCGAGTAAACGTTCGCCTCCGCACCCAATGCATCGAGCTCTCCTACCTTCAGAGGCAGTCTTTTGCAACCTTTTTTCACGAAGCTGATTTACATAGTGGGCCCCGAAGAAGCTGCGGCGGCTAAGGTGTCTTTCTTGAACATGCGCACTTCAATCGGGTCAAGCACTGGGCTGGCCGGACGTCGACGCCAAGAGGGTCACCCAGACGGAAGCAAGGACCGGGCCACAAGCGGAAACAGCGGTGGAAGGTGCCAAGAAAGGAAAATGGTCTGGCCTTCCCGCACCGGGGGCACGTTGTATCCGATTACGGCCATCGAGGCGTGGAGGCCGCCTTGAGATCCTAAGGATGCCCATGACGGCGAAAAGGATGGGGACGTCTTTCGCCCACTCCATCACGCTGCCGACGATGCCGAGAGTTGTGCTGGGTGAACGCTAGCCAAGAGATTGTCCATGCGTTACTTGTGTCGTTTAACTCAACAATCGATCCAACAAGGACCTTGACACTGATCTGACAAGCCTGCACAGACTATAGGCCTCAGAAATCCTCAGAACCTGTGCCCGTGGTCGCCGATAAGTTCAGGTGCTGCTTCACGGTTCAGTTCGCAGTGTGCATCTCAAGGCATGTGTGTCGAGGAGAGTCGCGTGGCTCTCCTGTTCGCATGTTCTGCGTGACACAGGTGTTGAGGCCTCCCTGTCTGCAGAGGAGGCATACAATAGACAAATACTATGACACAATAAGGCATCTGCCCCGAACCCCAAACCCCAAAAACCCAAGCCACCCCATCGCTTTGTTGCAGACCGCTCTCAAACGCAGCAAGCGCGACTGATGCTGCAGCATTGCGCTTAAGCTGCTGCCAAAGATCGATCCTTCTGCTCCTGATAACTGCAAAGAGCATGCCGAGCGACCGAGACAGCAGAGTGGTTTTTGCTTGCAGCATGCATAGGAGAGATTCACATGCAGAACACCACCTCCAGGTCGCGAGACCTAGTGGCGGTGTTGGCAGCAACTGGGGCGGGGCGAACGAACAACGCTTGCCTTGCCAACCAATGATGTATGTTCTGCAGCTGCCCTTGGCTGTATGGACGACCAAGACACTGAGAGGATTTGGTATTGGGCGTGGTCGTTACATCGACGTGTGAATGCCAGCTGCCAGCTGACAAAGCCCCGGGTCCCGCACTGTGAGTCAAAATGGCCCGGCCACCGTATGGTGTCCACGATCTTCCTGCTTTGGCCCTATATGAAGGTCTCAGTGAGCTAGCACACAAGCCTTTGCAATATCCGCAACAGACGCACTGAGCGTCCCTTCAATTCCAGTCTCGTTTGGTTGTTGGACTGGTTCCTTCAGCATCGTACCAGAAGCAGAAAATACTGCAGACCGGGGATGATGCCCCCTTGGAGGCCAGCGACCCGGACAACGCTAATGAAATCGGATGCATGCTTGAAGCCAATCATGTTCGTGGCTCTTCGCAAACGAACGTGTGACATGCAAATCTCCGGCCTGGCTTGCAGGAAAGAAGGTTGGGTCTTTTGCAGAGAGCCTGCCCTGCACAAAGTCGACAATCCTGAAGTGTCGGATCACCAGATGTGGTCACAAACCATACTACTGATTGGTCTCAACCATGCCAATGAATCGCAACACAAGAAGTGTGGCATGGCAAGGCCATGCGGCTTTCGAAGCTTCGGCGCAAGTGCTCCATAATGCATGCTTGACAACCTTGCAAGTCTCTGGATACTCTGCAAGTCTGTCGCGGGAGTGACGAGTGCAACTGTCACCAGAACATGCCACACTTGCATGTACCTTCACAATCACCCTGTGATGAATATCTTCAAGCCAACAATGAGGCGGCCAAGCTCCATGCCAAATGATGCGGTCTGTGGGATAGCCATCTTCGTAAACCTGCGCAGGCTTCTGCTTTGCCGGATGCTGTGAGGCTCCATGCTTTCATCGCGGACGCCTGTATGTTTAAGAACTGTAGCATAAACAGCCAGCTGCACCAAGAGCAGAGGAGCAAGGTCTAAAGGCGCATAAAGGTGCAAGCCTTGGACGCATTTACGTCGTTGTCGAAAGCTTCTTGGGCAGACTCGTGTCGGGTTGGCTTCTGGCATTCACCTCACAGAAAAGTTGACGGGATCTTTCAAGGGCACTCACTCAAAACCGTTCAGAAGAGTCGCGTTCATAGCCAAGCGCGTTCAACTTGCCGTGGGTATTTGCAAGCGAATGCCAGAAAACTGCTCCGATCTCGTAACGCTGCTCTAGGTCAGACTCAGTAAGATCCGGTATGCTGATGCGCTTCCCGGTTTCGTCCAGCAGCCTTCGAACGCGCGGCAGAAGCAGCGATCTACAGATCTAGCTGGCATGGCCAGATCACAAGTAAGCCGGACTTCTGACAGGCGTCGTGGACCATCCAATCGGTGCCCAAGAGGCCAAGGGCCTGCAGGTAAGAAGAGCTTTGAGAAAACATCAGCTGCGTTGTGCTCTCCCAATCACAGCCATTCGATATCTGGAATTCTTGAGCCTATCTTTGCCTGTGTTCAACGGGCCATCATCTCAGCTATGTAGCCTGGAGTAGCTGCGACCATCCAGGGCATCTCGGTCAGTCATGAGCACCTAAGATTGAAGGAAGGAACAGTAAACCTCGCAAACATTCGAGCAGCGGGATTTCGCTCGCTTCTTGGTCACACTACAGTCACCTGGAACACACCACGCTGGTACACAACAGGACACGTGACTGATTGTAGTCCAGGACCCTGTGTCCTCTCACTTGCAGAAGCATCATACAATCACACAAACGTGGGTACCAGCACGATGCTGACGCAGCATGGCCACCCGTATGTTCGCATACACCCACCTCCGTCAGTACACCCCGCAGCCTTGCATGCACCTGCCATGATATCCGATGCGATCTTGGGATCCTCAAACACTCTAAACGACTCTAAACTAAATGAAATCCAGCCAAAAGCTCCACCTTTCTGGCCCGAGTCGGAAAAGAAACCCGGCAAGCCAAACGAAGCCATTCCAGAAGCCAGAATGCTGCGGATGCTGTAAAGCCCGAAAAGCCGAAATCCAAAACGGCTTTTTGCCAGAAACAAGGTCGGGTTTTCAACGTCTTCATAGACCCCGAGCCAATTGGATACGTTTGTCCATTCTCGTCGCGGACCCAAGGGCGCTGCACAATGTCGCCAAGAGGCGGCATAACTGGAGGAAGGTAAAGACAATGCTGCGCCTTGCGCCCAAATGCCTAGCAACAGATCCAGCACGTTTCTAGAAGTTCGCATGCACGCATCCCCCGACCTTCGAAAACGAACTGGACAATCTCAGACTGTACCATGAACTCCTTGTACTCCTGCAGGATTCGCAATTAGATCAGATCTTTTCAGTAACTCGAGGGGTGAAATTTACGCTGAAGCTGTGCTCTGTCGACCCTGGTGAGGCGATATGAAAAAGAAGCTGATTCAGCACTCAGTGCACTGGCTTAGCCGTGAGCACATGTGGCGTACCGTCCTCAGGCACAAAGTCAGCAAAGGAACCGTTGCTCATGGCTCCCTGCGACGAGAGCAAAGCATAAGACCGACCAGCGCGAGCGGGCATGCACGACAAAGCCTGGTGGAACAATACCGTTGCAATCTCCGGGGTTGCGAAAACCTCAACTTGAGGATCGTTCTCCCGCAGGGCTGCACCGATGAGCTTGCGGGACTTGGTTTTGCCCCCGCAGCACCTCATCACTGCAATCGCGATGTCCGCAGCTCAAGGACGGCACAGCTGCGCCAGCTTTTCGTGAGGCTTCAGCCCTCCCACCACAGCGAGCTTGAAAACGGAAGGGATCTTGGCCTCAGAGCTCCGTGACGGAGAAGCCGGTGCGTACTTGCGGCCTCTCTAACTCCGAGGGGCGAATCCCCATTCGACGGCCTCCAGTGTTTGAGGAGAGAGCGCCTCTCCTGGGGAAGGCAAGCCAAGTTCCAAGTGCGGTACAGTGCGGCGGCTTCGTTCATACAGGGCCTGTTGCGATGGGTGCGCCAGGCGGCTCTTGCAGAGGAGCTGTGGCCTGCCCAGGCTCTGCCCTAGCGGTCCTCACAACATCTGTGGCTCCAACTGAAATCCCGGCTTTCAGAATCAAAATACATTGCATAGACATAGACGAAGCGGGCCGCACGAAACAATACGCACAGCATCGTTTCGTGACGTGAGCCTGGGTATACTTACCTGTGGACGTCAGCTGCCGGTGGATGTTCCACACTGCTGCATTGACAGCTGCAGCTAGGCGAGTTGCCATGTCCTGCATCAAGTGCATGACGTGACTTCTGGCCCATCTGCCAGGATCACCAGACATGTACGAGTAATTAGTGCTGTTAGGGAGTGGCATCGCCGAAGGTATCAGTCCACCGAGTCCTTGCCCTGGGAAAGATGACGGACATTCAAGTTGCCGTCCTTGTGCGAAATGCTGTTGTTGATTTCGACCCTGCAATCAAAAAGGACAGTCTTATTCAGCACAGCCCGAGTGAATGTGTTTTCAGGATTCTCAGGTGCTGCCATAGGTCTTACACCCCTTCGGCTTCGCTTTGCTTCCTTGTGCTAGATGGTTGCCCCTCCTTATTCTTGGACTGTCGGCCCTGGAACAAAGCCAGCTAGTTGAGTGAGCTACTGTTCGTTGGTCTTTAGTCATTGCTGCGGTCTTTCGTCGGATTGACATATTGGCTAGCCACAGGATTCCAGCTTGCGGGTTCGTCGTGCACTGGTATTGGAGTTCGGCTGATCTTGGCTGCAGGAGCTACAGAGCCGGCTCTGTTTAAGAAAACACTGGCTAAGAAAACCAGTGCTCTGGATTTTCCAGATATATGCATTCTCACTGCCCCTCCTAACTGAGAAAATGAGTGCCCTCTGACGCTCGGACCCTATTTTCTTAACTTTTTTCCGGTGCTCTGAATTTTCTTGTTGAGGGAAATGAGGACTGATTTCTTAAAGTAGTCACCCCGAGCCCCTGCAACACGGAGAAGAAAATGAGTACTCGTTTGCTTCATCCTCTTGTTGGCTGGATGTGACCCCGCCCCATCCCCCAGGTCCANNGCAAATACGGTTAAGAAAATGAGTACTCGTTTTCTTAACACTGTCCCCGCTACAGGGAAGGCAGGTGGATTGTTGGAGGTGTCAGCTCCTGCCAAATGCTTGCTAAGAAAATACTAAGAAAATGAGTGGGCACTGAACTTCTGAGAGCCACCTTCTCATGGAAGAGCAAGCTAAGAAAATGAGTGACCTCTGAGCTCACTGACTTGTTTTCGCTTGCACTGTATCTGCTTGCAGTGCATGGAGTCTTGCCCGAGCTGAAGATTCGGGTTTGCAGGCAGCTTGTTGAGGGTTTCGCCAGCACCGGTTCGATTTTTGCAGGAACCATCGGGTAAGGTCTCATTGAGATCTTGGCATCCGTGAAACCGCGCAAAGCGAGACAACCAAGTCTGAGCCCGATTGCACTGAGGCTTTACGTGCAGCCCCGTCTCCTCCATGATCCTGCAACGACGTACATGCCGCTTGCAAGACAATCAACACAATTCCGTCCTCATCGCGTCATCCACCGTCAGCAACCGGAATGGCCGAAAAGGTATGAACGTGCTCGGGGCCCCTCAGCACGCCATGTTCGAATATCGGGAACGTTGCTAGGAACGACGATGGCTCCTCGGAGTTCCTCTTACTTTCCGTTCAACCTGGCAAAGGATACAGATGGCCTGCCACGCTGCCACTTGCAAGCATCAGTGCCAGAAGACATCTGCCGCACAAGCACATGGCCAAGAAGTCCGAGTGCTGGTAGGGTAACTCTGCAGGTTAGCATGCGATGGTTTGTCGCCTCTTTGATTCATTCTGATTCGGACTGGAGAACGAGTCTGATCAGGAGTCTTTGCAGGTGAGACTTGTCTCTTACTGGCTCTCGTTTCATGTCTGAAGCTTAGAGAAAGCTGCCTCTGGGAAGTCAAGTCGATGTTTGGCGAGAACGTCTTTCAGACAGATCATCACAAATGAGTCCCAAATCGACCGAGTGTCATAAGACGCTCTGAGCGCACAGGCAGACTGAAACATGCAGGTCTGCTGTTTCCAGTAGCCAGGATCTGCCATGGAGCCTGTCAAACGATGACACTTGCATGTTGGAACTCTTCGGATCCTGCTCATGGTAAGCTACGTCACTCCAGCTGATGCATCTGTGCCAGAAGACCCCATCCAATCTGCAGGCATCTAAGCTCGCTTCGCCGTTCTGCTGCACCAACACTTCAACCGGTCGCAACACATGACAAGATCGGACGGATGCATAGGCCTGCCAAGGGATTCTCAAACTGAGGCAGCCAGGAGTTCGACTCCTCCGCACCACACCTCTCGAAGGCATAGCAACCCACCAAGCGCAAAACCACTCTCGGGCCGCGGGCCCCAAGAAGCTGCTGGCCTCACCCTGCTCGATCTCTCACCGCGAGATTGCGAGCACGTGCCAGGCCTTCCCGACTCTCCAACGACATAACCCGGAGCTTACGACGGACAACACAATCAGAGTCTATCATCTCGGGTTCGGAAACTTCCGCCACGTCTAGCACACTGTCAACTGTACCGTCGGCCTGCAACAGACCCAGGCGGTGAGGCCTGGCAGCTGCCTGCGCCAAGTTTCCAAACTCCGCCAAGAACACATCTACAGTCAAGTAGAGGCTTCACCGACTGGCCTCACTGCCAATGTCGCCACGAGCACAACGAGAACCTTTCAATGAACGGGCGGCATCGGCCTAGTAGATGCTCTGCCAAATTCAATACCTGTGCCTTTGCGAAGCTTGTAGTTCCACATGGCCGCATGGCGAGGATAAAAATCACGAAGATCGTTCTGATGCAAATATCAGTCTCAACGTGCGTGGACTTCTTGGGTGAGGGCAAGGTGGCCCAAGACCCGGTGTAAGCAAGGCTAATTAGTTCAGCTCAAAGGCCGTAACATGCCGCAGTAACACTTTATGTTTACGGTTTCTGTGCTTGCGCTGGTACCTGGCTTCCTCGAGAAAACAATTCCAGTGTGCGGTCATGACCCATGGCAGTGTTTAGCACAAGAATCGGGGAGCGTGGGATAGTCTTGTACATCCATGCCGCTACGCTTGAGCGGCTTCAGCTAAACATCGGCCATTATTGGCCAGCACCAAGCATGCCCAAAAACACAGAAACTTCAATCGCACAGGACGATCACGATTACCAGGATTAGCTCTACGGGAAACCCTGAAACTGCCTTTAGCCCAACTGGCCAGGTGTTTCCCAGATCCTAAGCTCGCTGTCATGCCGTACCGTTTACGGCGGCATTGACTGGAAGTGCAGCTCCCGAGCCGCGCTCTTGAACCCACACCCACCTCCCTGCCCTCCCCGCCCCTCCTGCTGTAACAGTTGCATAGCTGTGTCCTCTGGAATCCCCTTGGTGAGTTTCCTCCAGCCCGCAGCTGTCTTTTGCAGTTCAAACCTGTCCCTGCTCAGAGGTCGCAATGTTCTCTGTCTTTTCCCCTCCTCGTATCCTCGTCCCCGAAATACATATATACCTACATACATACATGCATACATACATACAGACGGACAGACATGTACATATGTACGTATGTGCGTAGATACACACACACACACATACATATATATATATATACACACACATACATATCATGTCCTGTATACTGTATATTAGTAAATGTATAGTTAATTATATTAACAATGAATTAAATATATTATCCATTTGTTTTTATATGTTATGGAATTCCTTACATCATCTATATGTTGTGTTGTGTATTATATTATTATATGTTATATTCTTCTAGATTTACGTCTTATATTTTGTATAAGATCCACGAGTCTACGAGTACAACGGAGGGTGCGAAGGGTGCCGGGGGAGCGGTGGGGGGGCCGGTGAGGCTGGGGCGGTCGGTGGCGCGGCTGTTGCGGTGGAGTGGTCTGGGTCTTGGCGTGCAGGTGGGGGTGCGGGGGGTGGGTAGGGGGGGCGTGGTGGGTGCGGGGTGCAGGGCAGGGGGTTCGGGCGCGCTTCTGGCCACCATTCAAGCCCACTCTCATGCACATGCCTGTCGTCCAGCGAACCGGCCGCATCGCGCAGCCCGCACAGACGCTCAGATCACGATGCTGCAACGACACGCTGCTTTACATGATTGATAAACCGAGGGTTTCCAGCCGGGGGCGATGCAAAAGCTCCTCCCCTGGCGGGATCCGTAGTATCAGCCCTTCAATTTGCTGTGGGTCTTAAGTCGGCTTCATGTAGCGCCTCGAGGGGTTGCTGGACGGACTTTGCCGAGCAAGCAACTTGGGCCAGCATCGTCAGCATCAGTCAGGCTGTGCTTGGCGTGGGGAAGCGTGACATCGGAGGGCAAACTGGAGAAGGGCTGAAAGCGCCGGCGCTAAAACTCTGGCTATGTTTATCTATATACTGTGGCTGGCGGCCGGCTTTGAGTTGGCTGCCAGCCCGGAAGCACCGCAGCGGGGGCGGGTCCCTGTGTTGTTGACACCGAATCTTTGGGACCCGGTGTCCCCGGCCTGCAAATGTCCGTTTTTACAGGCTGATCTTGAAACGAAGACAGGAATTCCGCAGGGGCGCCTCGGCACGAAACTTGAATCGAAAATGAATCAAGCTCTTCGCGCCAGGCACACATGAATACTCATGATGATCATGCCGGGTTTGGGGGGCAGAAGCGCTGTGTCGCGCGTGCGTTGCCTGAGTCAGCAAGATAAAGACACTCACACTCACTATTGATGTGTCGAGCGCAACCCTCATAAGATATCACAAGCGCAACATTGGCATAGATGCTATCAGTATCGTAGCCATGGCAGTTGTAAGCCTCTCGATGAACTGGATTGCTTAGTCACTGTGAAAGCAGAACAATTTCCAGAGCATCTCATGACATGGACCGGCACGCTCAGCTTCTAGTGCTGTAGGCATGCTTGTATGTTGGATTGCGATCCCTGACAGCCAGCCCAAGCCTGACCTTGTCTCGTTCCGCAGCTGTCTGTGCAGTTTCACACAAAGCGAGACGCCGGACCTACATGTCGAATGTTCATGCACCCCCAGTGCCTCGACATGCTCAGCGGTGACTTCAGCTCAAAAGTGTGATGTCGGAAGGCTAGCAAGCATTTCGGGTGAACTTCCAAGTTGAGTACAGGAGAAAATGGCAACACTGCTGCACCCGGCTGTACCCGACACCGTTCATCAATTTCTCCGCGACAGGCCTTACAACTCGTTGAATAGCTGTTCCATCACCGCTGCCGTACGCGAAGCACTGAGACGATGAATTCTCGTGGCTTTGTTGTACAGCCAGGCACATTCCAATCCTGTACAGGGACAATCGCAGTGCCTGCAGAGCCACATAGATCAAGTTGCTTTGCCAGCCGGCAAAGTCTCCTGCAAAACAGATCGATGATTGGTGCAGAATATCGAAACTGGGCCGGAAGGCTCTACGTTCAGAGCTGCAGAATCTGCTGTTAGTTCAGGAAGCAACTGGGATCCAAGTACCAAAAAACTGCGCGACTTTGCAACTAGAACATTTGGCATTCGCCTGCTCGTGCAGACGGTCCAAGTTGTCGTTGACTTCCGCCAGCACGATGAGCTGCTCAGGATGTTGGCATACACTGAAGCATTCGTACAGGCCGGCAAACGTTCGCCTGCTCGGAAAGGTTTTCTGTGCGCTGCTCCAGAATGCCTCGCTCCCGCTCGGAGCGGAATAGCTGCTGCCGGGCCTCGGCCTGAGCAGAAACGGACAACGCGGAGGCCAACGATGCACGGTTTTCAATTCACTCAAATTTACACCCAACTTGAGAGAGAGGGCCGCGAAAGTTGGCGGGATTAGGGCTTTAACCGGGGGCTTCTTCTGGCGATTCGTCTCAGCCGTTCTTGGCCGCCCGGTCTTCTGTTGTTGGAACGGCCGTCACGATGTCCCAATGCGTGGTGCAGGGCGGGACGCCGAAGAGCGACACCACAAACACAGCGGGATATGACGAACCGTAATCCATCAGCCGACTTACGGCATGCATAGACAAAAACCGTGGCAATCTAGCCCCTGTATCCACCATTGGGCGTCCCAACCCAAGCTGCCACATCGGGCCCGCTGGCCCGAATTTTCGCTGACTATCACACTTGTGATCAGAACAGATATGACAGGGGCGGGCGGGCGGGTGATTTGCGCGGCGGCCAGCACCGCCACAGCCGAACCTGAAGCAACAACCCATGGCCCGGACACACAAGCACATACAGTTGTTAGTCGCAGTTTGGAGTTTGCCGGCCATCAGCCCGACCTACGCCAGCGCGGACCTGCCAACCCTACTCAGCTGACTTACAGCTGAATAGAAGCTGTAAATCTAGCCCCACGCGTAGCCGCAGGCAAAAACCTGTCGATGGCAAAAAACATTACACCAACCTTCAGCGCGAACGACGGTATAAGCATACACAACTCTGCTAACTATGCGACAAGAACACCCTTTCAGCGGCGCATCCATTCTTGAGACACAACGCTGTTGACAATCGGCACCTCAGACGCACGGAACAGCAGACTGGGCAGCCTCTCTCTTGCTGAAGGATGTTTTCAACCATATACGCCCGTTCTTCCAAGCGGGTGAGAGGATATCCTCGCGATCTGACACTGCGCGTCCACAGATCTCACGCAACTGCCAACCTTGTCGAACGTCTGACACGGTGGAAGGCCGGCTCACCCTCGATCTCCAGCACCAGGACGCCGGCGCGCGGTCGTCAAGCACGACAGAAGACGCCGTTACGCTTGGACGTTTGACTACAACGAGGGCTGACCCATAACATAACCAGGAATGCGCATAATGCGCCCAGCACGTCGACGTCGCGACCAGGATCATTGACGAAGGCCGACTCCAACCGGTGCACCACTACCAAGGATAACGCGGGGGCCTCCTTCACCACGTCACGTTTCTACTTTTCTGCATCACGCCAAGCAAGCACGAGAGGGCGCTTAGCTAGCTTGTCCAGCACAGAAAGCTCAAACTTGGCAGCGAAACCAAGCGCCGAAAGGACAACCAGAGCCGAGCGCTTGCGGTTGCGGCCTTCAGGAAAGTATGCCCTCTCAACCAGGCTCTCGAGAAAATTTTGCAGCTGTTCCAAAGACGGAGCACCTGAACGCCATCTTTGATTTGCGCAACATGAGACCGACAATCTCCAGTTTCCCAGAGGCTGCGCCAATGTCGCTGCCCGGTCCTGGAAAAATGGTTTCGAATATTAAATGCCACAAGCGTTTCCTCGAGCGCGCAGAATGTCGCTGTCATGCCGCAACGTATTGACAAAGCCCAGCCACAGGGATGCCGGCTTCCCTCTTTCATTCGCATCCGGTTGCGCCAGCATGGCACCAACGGTACAGTAGCAACTGCACTCACGTCTGGAAAAACACTCCGTGATGGGCCCTGCGCAACGCGTAAACAAGGACGGGGAAGCTGGGGCTGGGACTATTTCACCGAAACATGCAGCAAGGGGGAACTCTGTGGCACAGGCAATCGGCCAACAAGATGTGGCAAGGCGCGAAGTTCATCGGCGTTGCTGTCCGGACGTCTGGCCCCACATTCCCCGCAGCACGCACATGAGAACGGCAGAGAAAACAGCAACCAAGTCATTTGAAGGCCGTCGAAGCGTGCACCGCAACAGCCGAACCTTAAGCAACAACCAGTGGCCTGGACACACAAGTACATAGAGCTGTTAGTCACTGTTAGTCTTAGTGTAGGGTTCGTGGTGTGCGCTGGCCATTAGCCCGACCTACCCCAAGCCCACCGGATAGCGGCGCGACAGCGCGACACTATCACACCTGGACCCCAACACACAGACGCCATGACCAGAACACCGAGACCCCGCGTCAGTTCGCGGGTGCACGAGACTTGATGGATAATCCTCGGGGCAATCTAGGCCTCCCCGCGTGCTCAGCCCTTTCGTGGCCCAGGCGCTCGACTAAACGACCGTTCAGGTCCTGAAGCTCACAAGCAGTGATGGACAAATCAGAACTGTTCTTGACACCTTACGCCTTCAGCTCGCGGAGCTCATCTTGGAGCCGCTCAAGTCGCTCCTGCTCCTCAGCGTCAGAGTTGCAGAGCCGTGGCCGTGCTTCAAAGGCTTCGTGCGCACAGGCCCTCTTCGCGTGCTACAAATACTTCCGATGCGGCGTGCAGCAATCAATCCTCCTTCAACTTGGTGTCTGTTCGCCGGCCGCGCGCCAGCTGAATTTGCTTGAGAAGGTCCTGGTCGCATCAAAAATACCGCTAAAGCACCCCTGGAAGGGCAATTATGGCAATGCGGAGTGGGGCAGCAGTGGACAGGGCAGTGGGGGGTGGAGATAGGTGGCGGGAAGGCACGGCTGCAGAGAGTTGCGATGCGCAGTTCTACGCGTGTAGCGCCTGTGGCTTTGCCAGTGCCTCACAAAGACGACACTGGACATCGGATGTTCCGCCTGTTGCATCACAGTGCACATGCTATTACGAGTGGCATAGAATTGAGGGTGGTGATGGTGATGTTGATGATGATGGTGGTTGTGGTGGTGGAGATGATGATGATGATGATGATGATGATGATGATGATAGTGGTGATGTTGATATTGAGGACGATGGTGGCGGTGGAGATGATGATGGTGACGATGATGGTGATGGTGATGGTGATGGTGATGGTCATGGTCATGGTCATGGTGATGGCGATGGCGATGGCGATGGTGGCGGCGATGGCGATGATGACGAGGAGGATGAGGAGGAGCAGCTGCAACATAACGATGATGATGGTGGCAGTGATTGTCATGCTGCTGCTGCTGCTGCTGCTGCTGCTGCTGCCGCCGCTGCAGTCGCTGCTGGAAATGCATGGGCGCAGCACCCTGCACGTGTGGACACTGCGTGGGAGCCGGGTGTTTCGGCCGGCTTATGAAGCATGTCTTCGCGGTAGCCACGAAGATCCAGTGAATGAGCTCTCTGGCTAGACATCAAGCCAGATCGAATCGGTTGTTGCAAGTCATTTCTCAAGGCATTGGGAGCCAGATACAAATGGGGCAGCATGTAGTATGCAAAAGGTCCTGGACTCTTTTGTTATGCTCTTTCTTGGTGTCTCGCAGCAGGAGCTTCACGCTCTCCACCTTGCGGCAATGTGTGTCATGCGCAGAACAGGCGCTGCTGGATTCTAAAGCACAGCCTTCAAGAATCCCTAGACCGAAAACATCTAGCATCCCACAGCGCCTCTTCCTTACTTTGTTGCAGCGCTTCCGCACTCTGGCGGGCAGCATCCTGGCCATTTCAGGAATGTCGCCTTGGGGCCTCCACTTGTTCCCGGCTGCATATCCTAAAGGTGCAACACAAATTGACCACTCTTTCTGCTGCTAATGCAAAGGGCCACTGTAAAATTCTACACCGATCCATACGGACATATTCAGATATGAAATGATGTGACAACCTGCATACATGCAAGCAGCTGTAGATACATCCAGACCACGTACACAGCTTGTACACGATCCTGTTGGTGCACAGCTGCCAGCAGCTGAGCGATTTGCAAGGAGCAGTCGTTCCGAAACGTTGAACTTGCACGCAGCTGGATCCGACTTGTCGTCCAGGCCGATGAGATACACATGATGTGAAATCGTTGCGAAGTAAAGCCTTCGCCCATCAGCTCAGCTTGTTCTGCAGTATTCCTTGCATCTGTTGTAACGGGGCAGGACCCGACCCCTCATCCTACTCTGTTCTGCCCGTGCTGGTGCTAGTGCCAAAATCGCCATCTTACCTTCGCAGTCGTGTCATTGTCGTCATTGTCGTCATCATCAGCATCAAGATCACCAGCTCGTTACCAGGGATTGTCTAGCAAATCATCGCTGGCACGCTCATCAGTTTGCAAGTGCGAGGAATGAGCGTGAGCGCGAGGGAACAGGAGCCGATGTCAGTTACGCAGAGGGAAGGTGAAGTATGCTTTCAAGAAGCCTGAGACACCCTGTGTGCTCGGGACGGAACCCCGGCCAGACAAACTGTCTGCAGCCGCCACTGTCGAGGAGGAGGAGCGCGAGGCACAGAGGGTGCACAACGTCCACACCAACCAGCACGTGTCAGAGAACCAAGGACAAAACTTCTCCAGCACCGGGGACGAAGAGGCGACATGAACTGTCGCGGCTCGTGCTACCGGAAACTAACGGCTCTTCTTGTGGGTCGTGCTGTTTCTGTCGACGCAGCTTATGCTTGCTCATCCAAGACTAAATCCATCTTTCCAACTCAGGTGCTCGCTAGCGTACTTGTGTCATGCGTCCTGAGGTAGTGGAGGGCATTTACTTGGCGCTTGTGAGACCAGTGGCGGCCTGGAATTTGGGAAATATCTGTCGAAACTGTGTCAACATGAGGAACACTGGTCCATAGCAAAGCCTGGTCAGCTTGCGACCACACCTCCGCTAGCTTTTGCCGCACAGCACCGACGGCCCGGTCTTCCCTCATTTCCTGCTGAACACAGAACAAAACATATTTGCGGACTCAACGCCTTGATCCTTCACAGGAACCGTGCCTTGAGCTCCTTCTCGAGCGCCATAGTCTTGTCCTGTCAAAGGCCAGTTTGAAGAGCGGTTTCTGCCTCTCCGGACCGGCACAGCTGTCACGTCCTCAAAGCGGTTGACCAAGTCCGACAGAAAGCCTGAGCTCACGCGAAATCCTGTGTGCCTTTTGGTTACCTCGAAACGGACCTTCCCAGCGTAGAACTCCAAAGTCTGAGGATTGCGGGAGAGCCGCCTGTCCGAGATTGCAAGGACTCCACGTCCGCGAGCTCCTGCGGAGTCCTGGGACCGAGCTGCCGGACACAGCTGCAGACTACCGCAGGCTGCAGGCGACTGCAGTCATCTTCAGGCCGAGTCAGCTGCCGCCCGCGCTGTGCCTGCACCGCTTCGAGGCTGTCCTTCAGCCGGTTCAAACCATGTCTCAGACGATTCAGGAGGAGCTCTCCCGAGCTTGGCAACCGCGAACTGCTCAATGTGCCGGATTGCACCAACAAGGCAAAGCAGCCATAATAGTAACAGCAGTGAAAGGGTGTCCTTCACCTGCTGCAGCTCGAAGTCCTTCGAGCAGACCAGGGAAAATGCAAATGATTTCTGCCTCGCCCTCGGTGTTGAACCTGTTACACTTGTCGCCGTATCGCCTGATCAGCAAAACCCGGAGCATTAGCTCAAGTACATAAACAAACTTTGATTGGATCTGCGCCATCGGGTTTTCCACACGAAGGTCAACCCATTGGTGATCTAGCTGCCCTGAACACTGTTGTTCGCATCGCTTTGACAGCAGTGCCTGAACGCAGTGGATGGGACGCCTCGAGACACCTATGGGGCAAAGGCTTACCCTGACCTCTTCCATTTCTTCGTGAACGTGATCTCCTGCCTACTCAAAATTGCTTTGAAGATTGCCGGTGTCTGGTCGTTCTGGCTGAACACAAACATGTCGTGATACTACTAGTAGTACCTCGGCCAAGTACTTCGCTAAGCGAGACTCATTCCTGAATGCCCAGGCTGCGGAGATCAAAGAAGTTAGGCACAGTGGAGGATGCTTTTGCTACCCGTCGGCATCTGAGCTGTCAAGTGTTGCCAACTTTCGTCAGACCGTCAGCCGTTGTCGTGTGAGAGGCTTTAACCTTGTGATTGTCGTTGCGCATTCCCCCGATGGGGTCTTCAGAAGGCATTTGCTGCGTGACGTTGGGGCATTCTTGGTTGCCACTGTCCTCGGGCCGTCGGGGGCAAACTCAATGCTGAGAGGGTCGATTTGACGAATTCCGGGTGGATGCGATGGGCTGCTGGCCAACTCTGTTTTTCCGTGGCAGGCTCCAATCAACACCGGCTCCACCTTGGACTCATGGTGCTGCACAAGTCGCTCGAAGAAGTGGTTGATGTTCGTGGCCTGACCAACGTCCCTTGAAGGCCGCACCATGGGCTTGAATTTCAGTTGCGTGTAGAAGCCACGTCGGATGTTGTCGCCACTGCGGTGATCGCTGAACCCGTTGTAGCAGCAGGGCCTAGAATGCCATTGACTTTCTCGAGGGTCCAGAACGAGCATAAGGACTTGGATGGGGGATTGGATGGCGGCTTTCTGAAATGTTGAGCCCGCTATAAGCATTTGGACGAGTTCTGGGGCAAGGTCAATGCAGTTTGGTTGGGCTTTCAGTGACCCGCATCGTTTCACGGTTAAGGGATTGACGCGAGCCGAGAATGCCTTAATCATGCAACCCCGGCAGTCGAAGTGAGAGGTTCAAGAAGGAAGAATCATTCAAGGTGCGACGCACTTAAACTTAGGGTTCTTAAGAGGGACGAGGTCGCGTTCCGGGCTACTTTTCGGTTCAATGGGGGCAGCATGTTTCCTGATAATTCTCGATCTTGCTCCTTCAACCGATTACGGAAGCTGCCAATCTGCGCTCTGCAACATAAGAAACTGGAGATCCATGGTTGGAATTGCCACGCGAGGGCTTGTCCAGACTGGAATGGCTGTTTCAGCAAATTGAACAAGACCTGCACTGTTCATCGAGGATTAGATAACTTGGTCTGACTTTTACACTAAGATTCGGACGGTGAACGGCCATTTCTCTTACTTACGAGTTACATCTACTGATTTATACTTCAACTATTTGACCGCCATCAGGTGTGAAGTTTCTTCGATCAGCATACTAACTTTACGGACAGTGATATTTGCTCGTCCTAACCCCCGTGCTTTTATGCTAGTAGTGCTGGGGCATGCTGGGGCTCTATGTGTTATATTGCGACAGTATCGACAGAAAAAGCCCCAGCTGGAGTGTGCCAAGGTTTCTGATGGCTGAGGGTCAGGCTAGTAATCCCAATTTCGTAAGGCGGGTATTGTTGTGAGGCTGCCCTTGCAGTTTTGTGCTTGCAAGTGAATATCTCTTTCGGATCGTACAGGGCACAGCGGTGGAGTTTCCGAATGTTGACCGTAGTAGTTTCATTGATCATCTGGCGTCTGACCCTTGTGGACCCGACCCGGGGAGGGTCGTGTATGGTCGTGTCACGCAGTTAATTACTGTATACAACGGCATGCAGCTTTTGCCCTTAGAGATCAAGTTGCCAAATCGGGCTTCTTGTGTAGTGCCTTTTTGTGGCGAACTCAGCGTTGTCGGATTTTGCTCTCGGCGTGCTCCCCAAGCCTCGCAACGTTCCCCGGGATCCTGGTGAAGTGCCCGAAGGGGTCAGTAGGTTGTGGCAGCTCCAGAAAAAGTGAGGTGTATCCTGGTCCCAACAAATGGTGTGGTAAATGTGGTGTTTGCGGGTTATCCCTGCGTTGCGGAATTTTCGGAGACAGGTTGGGTCCAATGTGTTTTTCCGAAGGGCTGGATGCGATCTTGCAGGGATGCGGCTAGCGGATGGCTGAAGGTGAGCCGCACTAGGGCGCAGTTGCTACAACTAAATGGTTTCCTTGATGCGTTGCAGCGGTTCTCCGGCCATGTGTTGGGACTTGCTTCTTAAAGTTGGTACGTAGCTAAAGAAAAGATCCCAGCAGCACCCCTGGCGCGATGCCCCAGGGCCGCGACTGCAAATTAATGGGAGGCTGGCTGGAGAGCTACTTCTGGTGAGCATATACACTCCACCAGGGTTGATGTCTCATGCCAGAACTTGGAAAGTTGTTAAATACTTAATGGCCAGATGTGTGCGCATTCTGCGAAGCGGGAGGCCTGCAAGCAGGATCCCAGGCTTCACTTGAGCCTCTTGGCCTGATC